TTTCTTCTTTGTGTTGATGCTCGACTTTTTCTAAGTGTTTCTCTTAACTTATTTGTATATGATTTTTGCATTTCACATTTGTTGTTGTTGTTTTCCATGGCTTCAAACTCTCATTTATATAGATGAAAATAGATATGTTGGAGGTTGATGTTGGAATTTTGTAATCCACAACTTGCATGAAGACGTTGAGTAGTACAGTAGTAGAGTGGTGGTACAAGCATAACGTAAGGTGATGATGAGATGTATTGAAAAAGTTAGTACTGACAAATAGTCTTTTTGTCCCATCTCACAAGGTAGTGGAAATGATGTTGATTTGTACCCTTTTAATATTTTTCACACTATCTTTCTTCATATTAATCTCTTTGTATCAGAGGCTTCTAATAGAATTTGGTAAATATTGATCAGAGTCCAGGGTTATCATCTTTTCAATAACCAACTTATCTAAGGAAATCCAACTTTTCACATTCCTCCTTTGCTAGGGCATCAATATCCCTATGCCCTTTTTACTTGATTAACTATCATTGCCCTTATGAATATATCAGAGAGAACTCTTCCATATGGTATGAGGAAGGAAATCTCCCTTCTGGAGGCAATGATTATCTCCTTAACATAGTTAAAGATAGTAGAGGGAATATCAATGTAAACATTGTACAACAGGAAGTACATGAAATGTTTGGCCTCGTAAGTCAAGAAATTCACTCCCTTCTCTCTGGGACATAGGTTGTCCATCAAAATTTGATGCCAAGGTCTTGCCTCTGAACAGAGAGTCGCTGGAAAATTGATCATGTCAAAATTGTTGTAGATGTCATAGATTAGAGATTTATAGAAGGTAACATGTAATGTTTGACGGTTGAACCTCTCTCCTTGCAATCAATTACAACAGTAATGGTGGTAGTAGTGATTGTTATGGGAAATCCATAAAAATCCATTCTATTGTTCCCAATGGATGCATAAAACCAGAATTCTTTTACAAGATTCAGATAAATGAAACCATTCAGCATAGTAAAATAATTTACCCATTTTTGTTTAAGGACTTTCTTTAACATATCAAATCCCTGCAATTTCAAATCAGAAAGTTGACAACCTTTTTATTGATCACAAAAAGGAGTTCTTCATCACCTAGAAATATTTTAGAAGGCATTTTGAAAGTATGAGATAAAAAAAGAGAATAAGAGTGAGGGAAGTGAAAGTGAAAGATTGAGATGGAGAAAGAAGAGTTTAAATAGGAAATAAGAGAAGAGTAAGAGACGGTCAAAAAGATTTGGTTCAGATAAACAACGAATGGAAATTAAGACTAGACATTTTGAAAACGCCCATAATCATAAATAGTAATACACAAAAAATTAATGACTTATAGAAGTGGTGAGATGATAATCACGTCCGTTCCAAAGACATATTGCAGTCCAAAAGTCTTATCAAATATTTGTATATCTGCATGTGTGACAACTGTTATACATCAGAGTCTAAACTATTTACTCATGATTTTTGATTTTCCTTATATCTTAGTCATTAGATTTTATCAATTTAGAATCTGACTAAGATCATTTCTGAGTAATACAAAATTTTGTGTCTAGAAGGATAGCACTTTAGATTTCGTTTTCCAAAGTCTTACATTACACATTCAGAGGCCAAAACTATTTTCTCATTCTTGCCACAGTTCCATGTTAAGGATTTTCAAAATAAATATGAATCTATCCTCATCAAGGGGTTTTGTAAAGATATCAGCCTTTTGATGATATGTACCAATAATTTAAAATTAAAAATGCCCTTTTGAACATAATCTCTTATAAAATAATATTTGATCTCAATATATTTTTCCCTTGAGTGTAAGATAGGATTCTTGAACAAACAAATGGCTGAAGTGTTATCACACAGAATATGAATCTTATCTTCTTTGATTTGACATGGGATTGTCTCCAAATGTGTTACCCTATTATGCTCTGATGAAGTTGGATTATGAAAGGGTTGTGTTAAGACCAAGTGATTTGGTAGTGAGGGCTTTTGATGGATATAAGAGATTAGTGTTTGGTAAGGTTGACCTACCTATGAAGATAGGACCTAAAGATTTCAATATAACATTATTTGTGATGGACATACTTCCCGCTTATTTTTGTCTGTTGGGACGCCCCTGAATTCATGGGGCAGGTATCGTGACTTCCACGTTGCACCAGAGGCTTAAAATTGTGATTAATGGAAAGGTTGTTACCATCTGTGGTGAGGAGGATTATGTCGAGAGCCATTTGAGTTCATTTCGTTATGTGGAAATTGAAGGTGAAGTGCACGAGACTCCATTTTAGGCATTTGAAGTTGTCAAAGTTGTTAAACTAGGGGTTAGAGTGTTAGAGCTTCCAATTAAGAAGGACAATTTTGGTTTGGGGTTTAAAGATGGTAAAAATGTGCAGGTGGTTGTGTCTTGTTTTTATTTTCTAGGTTTTAGGTAGTAATTGGTTTTTCATATTTCACATATGAGGGTGCATATCTCAGCCTCAAGCCTATCAATCTTGACATTGGCTTCATCTCTTTCAATCATTACCATATACAGCTCCTTAGTCACAGCTTCTATATCTTCTGTTCTCTTGCCAAGTTCTTCCCACAAATAATTGTTTTCATCTTGCAAAACTACTTGTTGAGTAGCATGTAGCTCTTCTTGCTTCAACTTTTCAGCTTCATATTGCCTTAACTTGTTTTCCAATTCTTTGTTTCTAAACACACAATTGGCCAATGTAGAGGTCAGTTCTATTTTCGTTTTCAACAAACTTGCAATAGCAAAATGCAACTCATCTTTCTCCAAAGAAAAGTTATCCTGTGAATCAAGCATTTCAGATTCCAATTTTTGCACCTCTTGCTCATATATTATAACCAAGTTTTCTAGTATTTGAATATGCTTTCTCCCTGAAACTAACTCCAAATCTGATTCAGCCATATTTTCTTTTGCCTCTATAAGCTGACCATGCAATTCATGATTCTCACATGACTTATTCTCAAGTTCCTTCCTTAAAATTGTATTTTCATCTTCTGATTTCTTGAGCTTTTCATTAGCTATCTCTAGCTGTTTCACCAATTTTGAAATTTCGTGATCATGTTTTTTGGCCTCACTTTCCTCAATTTGAGCCTTCAATTTGTAAATCTCTATTTCAGAAAACTCTTTCAGATTATGCAACTCTTCCTCCTTCCACTTCAATTCTCCCCACAAATCATCAACCTGGTTTTCACTATTCTCAACTTGATCCTTCAATTTGATAATCTCTTCTTCCAAATGCGTGACATGTAAGTTCATAACTTTCTCATCATAACTTGTTTTATCCATCTCCCACAATAAACCATCATCGAAAGACCGGTTTTGTATCATACCAAGATAGTCCAATTCTCCTGAGAGGCTGAAACCTTTCACTTTCACGTCTGGAACCCTACGATGATAAAGGTGATTTGCAACCCTCCTTCTTAAAAGACGCAAAGCTTTTATTAGTACTATCAGCGCTAGGAGATGAATGAGACGAATGAATATCAAAAGATTCAAGGTCAGACTTCACCAACATCTTGCTCTCTTCCATTTGAGATTCTATGATAAAACTCAATGATTAGAATTCTGCAATCCATATTACTAAAATAAACACAATACAAATTCTAATCTTATTCTTCTATTTTCACTACTTTCTTCAAACGTGAATTACAGAAAATAAGAATTATAGAAAGTGAGAACTGAATACACATGTTAAGAAATCCAATAGTAATAAGTAGTAATAATGAAAAAGAAATTAGATACGTTAATGATCCATACCTGATGAGAGATAATGACGAAAAATGGAGTATGTTCAATTTAATTAATGGGTTGTGAGTTGCGTTAGGGTTGGATGGAATTTTATAAGAAGATTTTTGAGTTGGGTTAGGATTTGATGGAAATTTATTGTGCGTTGATTTTAAATATTTTAAAAGATTGAAAACAGCAGCGGTTACAAATATGAATCTTAGCATGACAAGAGGAATATAGTTAAACCTAGTAACAAACCAATTCCACTTGCATTTTGAGACCCACGTGGGGTATTGAAATTTTTTTAAAGTAAAATTAAATTTCATAGATTTTGATTTTGTATAATATAAAATTATTATAATTGGGACTTTTAAGTAATATTAGATTATACAGATTTTTATTTTGTTTGATAAACATTATAATTGAGACTTTTAAGTAGTATTAAATTATATAGTTTTCTATTTTATCCTTGCTCAAAAGACTTTGAGGCGCAAAGTAATGCATTAATGCAGTTGTTGAGAACATCTATTGTCTCTAAATATATCTCTATAAACCAATTTGAGAATGTTGTTGCTAGCATTACTACTAGTAACAACCTGGGTTTCACTGGATTTGACTTGTCTCCCGAGGGGAGAAAACATAACAAAGCTTTACACATTCCCATGGAGATTGCAGGAACAACTTTATCTCGTTTGGTGGTTGACATGGAATTGTCTCCAAATGTGTTACCCTATTATGCTCTGATGAAGTTGGATTATGAAAGGGTTGTGTTAAGACCAAGTGATTTGGTAGTGAGGGCTTTTGATGGATATAAGAGATTAGTGTTTGGTAAGGTTGACCTACCTATGAAGATAGGACCTAAAGATTTCAATATAACATTATTTGTGATGGACATACTTCCCGCTTATTTTTGTCTGTTGGGACGCCCCTGAATTCATGGGGCAGGTGTCGTGACTTCCACGTTGCACCAGAGGCTTAAAATTGTGATTAATGGAAAGGTTGTTACCATCTGTGGTGAGGAGGATTATGTCGAGAGCCATTTGAGTTCATTTCGTTATGTGGAAATTGAAGGTGAAGTGCACGAGACTCCATTTTAGGCATTTGAAGTTGTCAAAGTTGTTAAACTAGGGGTTAGAGTGTTAGAGCTTCCAATTAAGAAGGACGATTTTTGTTTGGGGTTTAAAGATGGTAAAAATGTGCAGGTGGTTGTGTCTTGTTTTTATTTTCTAGGTTTTAGGTAGTAATTGGTTTTTCATATTTCACATATGAGGGTGCATATCTCAGCCTCAAGCCTATCAATCTTGACATTGGCTTCATCTCTTTCAATCATTACCATATACAGCTCCTTAGTCACAGCTTCTATATCTTCTGTTCTCTTGCCAAGTTCTTCCCACAAATAATTGTTTTCATCTTGCAAAACTACTTGTTGAGTAGCATGTAGCTCTTCTTGCTTCAACTTTTCAGCTTCATATTGCCTTAACTTGTTTTCCAATTCTTTGTTTCTAAACACACAATTGGCCAATGTAGAGGTCAGTTCTATTTTCGTTTTCAACAAACTTGCAATAGCAAAATGCAACTCATCTTTCTCCAAAGAAAAGTTATCCTGTGAATCAAGCATTTTAGATTCCAATTTTTGCACCTCTTGCTCATATATTATAACCAAGTTTTCTAGTATTTGAATATGCTTTCTCCCTGAAACTAACTCCAAATCTGATTCAGCCATATTTTCTTTTGCCTCTATAAGCTGACCATGCAATTCATGATTCTCACATGACTTATTCTCAAGTTCCTTCCTTAAAATTGTATTTTCATCTTCTGATTTCTTGAGCTTTTCATTAGCTATCTCTAGCTATTTCACCAATTTTGAAATTTCGTGATCATGTTTTTTGGCCTCACTTTCCTCAATTTGAGCCTTCAATTTGTAAATCTCTATTTCAGAAAACTCTTTCAGATTATGCAACTCTTCCTCCATCCACTTCAATTCTCCCCACAAATCATCAACCTGGTTTTCACTATTCTCAACTTGATCCTTCAATTTGATAATCTCTTCTTCCAAATGCGTGACATGTAAGTTCATAACTTTCTCATCATAACTTGTTTTATCCATCTCCCACAATAAACCATCATCAAAAGACCGGTTTTGTATCATACCAAGATAGTCCAATTCTCCTGAGAGGCTGAAACATTTTTCACTTTCACGTCTGGAACCCCACGGTGATAAAGGTGATTTGCAACCCTCCTTCTTAAAAGACACAAAGCTTTTATTAGTACTATCAGCGCTAGGAGATGAATGAGACGAATGAATATCAAAAGATTCAAGGTCAGACTTCACCAACATCTTGCTCTCTTCCATTTGAGATTCTATGATAAAATCAATGATTATAATTCTGCAATCCATATTACTAAAATAAACACAATACAAATTCTAATCTTATTCTTCTATTTTCACTACTTTCTTCAAACGTGAGTTACAGAAAATAAGAATTATAGAAAGTGAGAATTGAATACACAAGTTAAGAAATCCAATAGTAATAAGTAGTAATAATGAAAAAGAGATTAGATACGTTAATGATCCATACCTTATGAGAGATAATGACGAAAAATGGAGTATGTTCAATTTAATTAATGGGTTGTGAGTTGCGTTAGGGTTGGATGGAATTTTATAAGAAGATTTTTGAGTTGGGTTAGGATTTGATGGAAATTTATTGTGCGTTGATTTTAAATATTTTAAAAGATTGAAAACAACAGCGGTTACAAATATGAATCTTAGCATGACAAGAGGAATATAGTTAAACCTAGTAACAAACCAATTCCACTTGCATTTTGAGACCCACGTGGGGTATTGAAATTTTTTTAAAGTAAAATTAAATTTCATAGATTTTGATTTTGTATAATATAAAATTATTATAATTGGGACTTTTAAGTAATATTAGATTATACATATTTTAATTTTGTTTGATAAACATTATAATTGAGACTTTTAAGTAGTATTAAATTATATAGTTTTCTATTTTATCCTTGCTCAAAAGACTTTGAGGCGCACAGTAATGCATTAATGAAGTTGTTGAGAACATCTATTGTCTCTCAATATATCTCTATAAACCAATTTGAGAATGTTGTTGCTAGCATTACTACTAGTAACAACCTGGGTTTCACTGGATTTGACTTGTCTCCCGAGGGGAGAAAACATAACAAAGCTTTACACATCCCCATGGAGATTGCAGGAACAACTTTATCTCGTTTGGTGGTTGACATGGAATTGTCTCCAAATGTGTTACCCTATTATGCTCTGATGAAGTTGGATTATGAAAGGGTTGTGTTAAGACCAAGTGATTTGGTAGTGAGGGCTTTTGATGGATATAAGAGATTAGTGTTTGGTAAGGTTGACCTACCTATGAAGATAGGACCTAAAGATTTCAATATAACATTATTTGTGATGGACATACTTCCCGCTTATTTTTGTCTGTTGGGACGCCCCTGAATTCATGGGGCAGGTGTCGTGACTTCCACGTTGCACCAGAGGCTTAAAATTGTGATTAATGGAAAGGTTGTTACCATCTGTGGTGAGGAGGATTATGTCGAGAGCCATTTGAGTTCATTTCGTTATGTGGAAATTGAAGGTGAAGTGCACGAGACTCCATTTTAGGCATTTGAAGTTGTCAAAGTTGTTAAACTAGGGGTTAGAGTGTTAGAGCTTCCAATTAAGAAGGACGATTTTTGTTTGGGGTTTAAAGATGGTAAAAATGTGCAGGTGGTTGTGTCTTGTTTTTATTTTCTAGGTTTTAGGTAGTAATTGGTTTTTCATATTTCACATATGAGGGTGCATATCTCAGCCTCAAGCCTATCAATCTTGACATTGGCTTCATCTCTTTCAATCATTACCATATACAGCTCCTTAGTCACAGCTTCTATATCTTCTGTTCTCTTGCCAAGTTCTTCCCACAAATAATTGTTTTCATCTTGCAAAACTACTTGTTGAGTAGCATGTAGCTCTTCTTGCTTCAACTTTTCAGCTTCATATTGCCTTAACTTGTTTTCCAATTCTTTGTTTCTAAACACACAATTGGCCAATGTAGAGGTCAGTTCTATTTTCGTTTTCAACAAACTTGCAATAGCAAAATGCAACTCATCTTTCTCCAAAGAAAAGTTATCCTGTGAATCAAGCATTTTAGATTCCAATTTTTGCACCTCTTGCTCATATATTATAACCAAGTTTTCTAGTATTTGAATATGCTTTCTCCCTGAAACTAACTCCAAATCTGATTCAGCCATATTTTCTTTTGCCTCTATAAGCTGACCATGCAATTCATGATTCTCACATGACTTATTCTCAAGTTCCTTCCTTAAAATTGTATTTTCATCTTCTGATTTCTTGAGCTTTTCATTAGCTATCTCTAGCTGTTTCACCAATTTTGAAATTTCGTGATCATGTTTTTTGACCTCACTTTCCTCAATTTGAGCCTTCAATTTGTAAATCTCTATTTTAGAAAACTCTTTCAGATTATGCAACTCTTCCTCCATCCACTTCAATTCTCCCCACAAATCATCAACCTGGTTTTCAGTATTCTCAACTTGATCCTTCAATTTGATAATCTCTTCTTCCAAATGCGTGACATGTAAGTTCATAACTTTCTCATCATAACTTGTTTTATCCATCTCCCACAATAAACCATCATCGAAAGACCGGTTTTGTATCATACCAAGATAGTCCAATTCTCCTGAGAGGCTGAAACATTTTTCACTTTCACGTCTGGAACCCCACGATGATAAAGGTGATTTTCAACCCTCCTTCTTAAAAGACGCAAAGCTTTTATTAGTAATATCAGCGCTAGGAGATGAATGAGACGAATGAATATCAAAAGATTCAAGGTCATACTTCACCAACATATTGCTCTCTTCCATTTGAGATTCTATGATAAAACTCAATGATTAGAATTCTGCAATCCATATTACTAAAATAAACACAATACAAATTCTAATCTTATTCTTCTATTTTCACTACTTTCTTCAAACGTGAATTACAGAAAATAAGAATTATAGAAAGTGAGAACTGAATACACATGTTAAGAAATCAAATAGTAATAAGTAGTAATAATGAAAAAGAGATTAGATACGTTAATGATCCATACCTGATGAGAGATAATGACGAAAAATGGAGTATGTTCAATTTAATTAATGGGTTGTGAGTTGCGTTAGGGTTGGATGGAATTTTATAAGAAGATTTTTGAGTTGGGTTAGGATTTGATGGAAATTTATTGTGCGTTGATTTTAAATATTTTAAAAGATTGAAAACAGCCGCGGTTACAAATATGAATCTTAGCATGACAAGAGGAATATAGTTAAACCTAGTAACAAACCAATTCCACTTGCATTTTGAGACCCACGTGGGGTATTGAAATTTTTTTAAAGTAAAATTAAATTTCATAGATTTTGATTTTGTATAATATAAAATTATTATAATTGGGACTTTTAAGTAATATTAGATTATACAGATTTTTATTTTGTTTGATAAACATTATAATTGAGACTTTTAAGTAGTATTAAATTATATAGTTTTCTATTTTATCCTTGCTCAATAGACTTTGAGGCGCACAGTAATGCATTAATGAAGTTGTTGAGAACATCTATTGTCTCTCAATATATCTCTATAAACCAATTTGAGAATGTTGTTGCTAGCAGTACTACTAGTAACAACCTGGGTTTCACTGGATTTGACTTGTCTCCCGAGGGGAGAAAACATAACAAAGCTTTACACATCCCCATGGAGATTGCAGGAACAACTTTATCTCGTTTGGTGGTTGACATGGAATTGTCTCCAAATGTGTTACCCTATTATGCTCTGATGAAGTTGGATTATGAAAGGGTTGTGTTAAGACCAAGTGATTTGGTAGTGAGGGCTTTTGATGGATATAAGAGATTAGTGTTTGGTAAGGTTGACCTACCTATGAAGATAGGACCTAAAGATTTCAATATAACATTATTTGTGATGGACATACTTCCCGCTTATTTTTGTCTGTTGGGACGCCCCTGAATTCATGGGGCAGGTGTCGTGACTTCCACGTTGCACCAGAGGCTTAAAATTGTGATTAATGGAAAGGTTGTTACCATCTGTGGTGAGGAGGATTATGTCGAGAGCCATTTGAGTTCATTTCGTTATGTGGAAATTGAAGGTGAAGTGCACGAGACTCCATTTTAGGCATTTGAAGTTGTCAAAGTTGTTAAACTAGGGGTTAGAGTGTTAGAGCTTCCAATTAAGAAGGACAATTTTGGTTTGGGGTTTAAAGATGGTAAAAATGTGCAGGTGGTTGTGTCTTGTTTTTATTTTCTAGGTTTTAGGTAGTAATTGGTTTTTCATATTTCACATATGAGGGTGCATATCTCAGCCTCAAGCCTATCAATCTTGACATTGGCTTCATCTCTTTCAATCATTACCATATACAGCTCCTTAGTCACAGCTTCTATATCTTCTGTTCTCTTGCCAAGTTCTTCCCACAAATAATTGTTTTCATCTTGCAAAACTACTTGTTGAGTAGCATGTAGCTCTTCTTGCTTCAACTTTTCAGCTTCATATTGCCTTAACTTGTTTTCCAATTCTTTGTTTCTAAACACACAATTGGCCAATGTAGAGGTCAGTTCTATTTTCGTTTTCAACAAACTTGCAATAGCAAAATGCAACTCATCTTTCTCCAAAGAAAAGTTATCATGTGAATCAAGCATTTTAGA